TTAATGCATAATGTCCCAGTATAGAAAGCGTACCTATCACCATGGTGTCAAATGTTCTTGCATCTTTACTAGTAGATGCATACGCCCTTGTCTGTGAGCGAGTTTTTATAGTGCATTTGCCACTACTCGAGCCTCTAGGTGGTTCCATTGATTCTCATTATCCTTCCAAGTACAGTATCTTGTCGTGTGACCTTCACGATCACACCTGAAGCATGATCCTGAGCTTGCCATACATTTGCCCCAGTGTTGTTTCCCACACTCGCGGCATAAAGGCTTCTCACGTCCTTAGTCTCTCTCTATGTCCCTGAGGTTCCTGTCTGCATGCTGAGCATGACGTTTATCATTATAATGGGGTCTCTATGCCGACGGTTAGTAATCTGCTTCTCTTGGCTGATATTGTCGCTTCCTTCCAATAGTGAACGTTGGTTCCCGTTGTTTTTCTTCTTGAGGCTTTTCCAGAACTCTAGATTTTTTTAATGCCTCATCGTAGGTCTTTGGGTCTATTGCTTCCACCATGCAGTGGACTTCCGGGTCTTGGCCCAACACAAATTTTCTATCATCTTTTCTTCAGTTTCTACCAATGACGACGCGAACTTTTTAAACCTTATAAACTCTTGATCATATCGGTCTATTGGCTGCCCACCTTAGGTCAAATGGGTGAACTCCTATTGTTTCTTAACTTGGGCTACCTTTGGATAATATTGTTTCACGAAAGTCTCCTTAAATTTATCCCATGTCATGACTCCCCCTCCCACGTTGATACTATTCTTATTATCTATCCACCAGACTTCTGTTACTTTTTGTAGCATATAAGACGTGTGGGATACTTTATAGTTTTTTGGACAATCCATCGTTACAAAGATGATTTCCATAATCGAGATCCACATATGAGCTTCCGGTGGATCTTTCTTAAAATTGGTGAATAGACGCAGATCAAACCGCTTGAAATCTCGTAGCCAGATCGTTCCTCTAACAGGTTGCGAACTGTTGGCTTGTTGCGTGACCATCATGGTTTGCATCATTGCCTGGAAGGAATTTCACATCAGTTCTTTAGTAGAATCTATTATAGCCCGTGGTGCCACCGAGGTGGTATAGCTTGTGGTGGCGCAGCTGCATCCATCCTAGTTGTTGGCCCTTCTCGAGGTGGGTTCTCTTCAACCTCACCTCTTCCCCTACCCCTAATAGGGGGTCATCCCTTTCTTCGTCTACCTCTTTCGCCTCTTTTGAGCAGCATGGTTCTAGAAACCAAAATAATTCTATCTAAGTCTATGGTTTAAAAGCATATAGTAGCATAAAAAAGCATATAATAGCATCATTAAATCAAGTACACATTATAACATATAATAAAAATTGCCAAGTTACATGCTCTAATATTTAAAGACAATCACAATAAATATCCTTACATCATTTTTTATTTTTCTCATCTTTTTCATGGCATACCTAATGGTGATGAGGCATCGACGATTGGAGCATGGAATATATCAAGCATACCTTGTAGGTTAGTCTACAAGATCTGTAACCTAGAATTCTGATTCCAACTGTATGGACGCTAATTTTTCTACTTAATTTAAGGTCCTTACTGACACATCATTAATATTTAATGCAGAATTACCTTTATTAATACTTTATAATAATCTTAACCTTAGTCTTGCATGCTTCAATTAATGCCTTGAATTAAACTATTACAAATTGAAATAAAACGAAAAAACACATACAGAATGAAATGCCCTATACTAACCTATATGCTACTAAATGGAAATGCAATTTAATCTATACTAACCTATAGTCTAATAAATTTAAAATACAAAACTATCCTAAGCATGTGCCACAGTCTCAGGGTTGTGATGCCACCATCAGCCTTATAGAAGCGCTTTGCCTTTACCTGAAAAATATAGTAGCACGTGGCCTAAGTATTTTAAGAATACCTAGTAAGTGACCGTCTATCGGGGTTATAATGCAAAAACACATAATTGCATGCATGAGACCTATCATAACAGTCTATCGGAGTCTATCCTAAGGGGCAACTTGGATGTGTAATCACGTTCCCTACACACAATCCACACGTGCGAGTATGGACCCACTAGTCAGTTTGCACAACTCTTAGACCCCTTTTTGGTCGGGTGAGCATTCTTTGAGAGTTATTGATGCCGGACAACCGTTAGAAGTAGCGACCATCACGGAAACACTATGTTAAGCATAATGAACGCTCCCTTACCGAGTAGCGCACGCATTTGCATTATCTTGAAGGAACAGAGGTATCCCCCAATGCAAGAGCAAACAATAGTGTATGAGGTCCCGATATCTTTTAATTATCACTAATACAACCCCGCTATGTGTTCTTCATATTATAACATTTTTCATATTAATTCTCATGACGTTTATCACATCATTTATCATAACTTTCATGCATATGTTGGGGTCGTATTTCATGCTATTGGTCGTTTTTCATGTCAATCATATCATATCATTTATAACATATAAATCATATTAAAACATATTCATGCTTTCAAACATAATAGTTCATATCGTGTGCACATATCATAACATACATAACAGTCACATAGTTCATTCTAAGCATGTCTTCAATGAGACACATCATAACATATTGTATCATCAAGCATGTCTATTCATCAAATATAGCAAAACAATCACATTGCATAGCATTTACGTATCATTTTCTAACGGTCTACATATATGATCTATGACATGTGCGAAACCACAAGCACATGTCAGCATACAACATCCAATTCATAACCACGGTAGGGGGTACTTACTTGGATGGCCTTAGCCGGCGTTCTCCCTAAGCCGAGTTGTTTGAGCCGTCGAAGCTGAGGGACGTGTCGTGCTACGGGTGTGCCACGTGGCATAATGAGAAGCTATCGCATGTGCAAGTCCTTCCAGGTCGAGAGGGAGGTCACGCGTGGGATGCAGGTCACGGTCACAAGTGATTGGGTTGTCTACGTGTATTAGGTTGAGACGTGGGTCGCGATGACACAATGTGACTGCAGGCGTCTTGGTTGGGTCACTTTCCGACGTCATTTTTTATCCATTTTTCTCCCTTTCCTCTCTATCAGTTCCTCTCCTTCCTTCCCACGAGGTTTTCGTGATGTTTTGGTGCCTATTGTTAGACGAACACGACTCTCCACAATGGTATGATATTGTTCACTTTGAGCATAAGCTCTCATCCAACACCCATGAGCATTCCCTAAATTAACCAATGTGGGACACTTTCATCCAACACCTCCCCTCGAACAAAGTACGCCTCCCCTTAATCGAGGCTCGACTCCTTTGGAGTCTTAGTCATTTTTTACTGCCTCGGCTTGACTCCTTCTTTCTGGAGTCCTTTGTTCGACATTCGAGGATTTGCCAATCTATTGGCACGGCTAAGTTTAGGGCATGGCTCTGATACCATGTTAGACGAACACGACTCTCCACAATGGTATGATATTGTCCACTTTGAGCATAAACTCTCATGGCTTTGCCTTGGGCTTCCCCAAAAGGCCTCAAACCAATGGAGAGTGTATTCTTAGATTATAAACCCATGACCATTCCCTTAATTAACCAATGTGGGATACTTTCATCCAACACCTATAACTACAAATCCGAGAGCCTCAATAACAACCCAAACTCCAATTTGAAATTCAACGAAGTACAACAGCATTAGAGCGTGTAAGCCTTACCACTCATGGTTGTATGAATGTTGGCAGTCCTTTTCGCAACGTAGGAGGGTTGTTTCAGCGTTGGGTTCCTCTAGATAAGCTCGCCGACGAGGGTTCTTTTTCTTTTCTTCTTTTTCTCTCTCTCTCTCTCTCGTTCTCTCTCTTTGCAGGTCGTCTGTAGTGTGGGCTGAGGGATAGGTAGGAGCGTGGTGATCCATGGGAGTCTGGAGAGCGTGTATTGGGGTGTTAGAACGAGAACTCCAGAGCTCGCTAGAGTTCTCGGGTCTTTGCTGATTTTTTAAAAAAAATTTGGATCGTTACCGTTTTCATATTGAACTATAATAAACTATTTTATGTTTATTAATTAGAATAAATTGAACCATTTGAAAATTTTGTGAGTATGTATGCAAAATTATTAATAAAAATACTCGATATAATTCTACTTTGGAGAGTTATCCCGAGACCAGTGTTCTCGGGATAATCTCTTGAATGGCCTACGCCCAAACCCAAAGAATCCGTCAAGCTCACACATTCTGAAAGAGAAAGAAATGTCTTGAAAGCCATGACAGTCGAATAGAGGGCATCCCTTGTGACATGCAAAGGTGTTAGGAAGCCCCAAGTTGTATGACAGGTCATTATACATGACTTGACATCTCTCTCACTTAAAACCTAAGTCCTCCACACGAGTTCTAAGAAAGTGTTAAGATAAGGAGTTCTAAGAAAGTGTTAGATAAGGAGCGTTAGATGGAACTAGTATAAATAGAATATCTACTAGTATAAATAGAATATCTACCTTCAAAGATGGTATGGTACGTAATCCTTTTGACATCTTTCACTTAAAACCTACCACCTCCACATGAGTTCTTAGGAAGGATGAGTTCTTTGGAAGGGTTAGATGGAAAGTGTTAGATGAGGTCATTATAAATAGAATAATTTATCTTCAAATATGATATGTATTCTCTTTGACATTTATCACTCAAAACTTAAAGCCTCCACACGAGTTTTAAGTGTTAAATAGGACCCGTATAAATAGAATATCTATCTTCAAATATGGCACGTAATCTTTTTGTGCACAACTCATCACCAATGTATCTTTAAACAAAATTGTATCATTTAGCATTTAAAAACAATCAACATTTTAATATAATGATTTAATTGATTACCAACTTTTTAAAGTTTCCATTGAAATAACATTAATGTGACTTCCCTAACAATTTTAGAAGTAGTCGGTTCAAATGACAATTTTAATATATGATATTTCTTTGATACGAGATCAAAACTTCGAATCCCCCTATCAAACTAAAAACTATATACATATTAATGGAGGCCTCAAACCCAATGGAATTGCTAATCCCCTATTTATTTTTATTCATTAGTTCAAACTTTCAGTTTCAATCCAATCAGGTCAAACAAATTGGGGAAAGAGAGACCTGAGTCCTATTTCCAAATTCAAAGACTTATCTTATTATCAGATGTTTGTTGAACAAGAGTAACATAAACTCTCAAGTCTTAACTCCACCTGTAATACCTTCCTACACACCTACACTTCACTTATCTATAAAACAAGATTACTGAAACATGACCACACGTACACATCGTTCTCCACTCACAAAAAAATTATTCAACGTTTTTTGCAGCAGCAGGGGTTTCCTCGGCGGCTTTATCAGCATGAGATTCCGAGGGACTGTCTTCAGCAGGCTTGCTGCTGCTGCTGCTAACTTCTGCTGTGCTTGATTCTGCAGGCTCACCAGCAGCCGGCGCAGCATCACCTTCAGCAACTGGCTTCTTGATTGTCCCAACTTTAACATATTTACTCATGAATTTGTATTCCCAGTCCTGTAAGGCTTCCAGTTCAAATGGCCCAAGACCAGAGATATCCCCTGTCAGATCTTTCTCTTCAAACGACATTTTTGCAAGAGCTCTGCTGGCATCCTTTCCAGCAAAAAGGGCATACGGCCCTCCAGGTCCATAGAACATCCTGCAACCAAAGAGGGTCAAAATTGGAGCAATATATATAGGCGTATATTTTCTTCAATTTTAGTTTTCCTTTACGAGTACGCACACACAAGAGAACAAGACACGGGAAAGAAACAAGAGACAAACAAATCTTCGTGTCTACAACCTTAGGGTAGTAAATAACACTGTGAGTTTATAAACTTGACTTAGTAGAATAAGTCACTAAACATAAACAGATCTTTGTTTCTGCAACCTTAAATAACACTGCGAGCTTATATACTTGACTTAGTAGAATAAGTCACTAACTTATGGAGTAAGTTTAAGAGAATTGTAAGTGGATTTAGTAGGATAAGTTACTAACTTATGGACCAATATAGGAGAATTGGTATTGGTACGACGATCATTGGAGGAACAATAACTAAATCTGAGGATACTCCAAAATCTTTTCAATTGCTGAATTACGATCTTTGGCTTTGGAACGGAATGATTTCCTTTTTATCGGAGAAGAACTTCCAAATTAATAGGAAGGAAGCTTAATCAAAATGAATCAGCCAAATTGTGGACCAAGTTTTATGATTTATCTACGAAGATTGTTAGTGCGAGGAGAAAGTTTAGGAAGCAAATTAGTGCTTTCTCCACTATAAATACTCCTGAGATGTATGTTTTTTTCACAACAACAAATAAAATTGAAAAGCTAAGTGCTTAAGGTTCCTTGTACCGAAAGCTCTCTCCTCTCTTTGCTCCCTTTATTTGTTTTGACATATTTAGATCGTGGGCCATTTCCAACAAACACATCATGCAAAGAACAGTTCAAAAGTATACCCTAACCCCGAAACAAAGGACCTATTCTTATAAAGTCTTTGGAAAAGCAACTTTCTAATTGTTAGCGCATAATGAGAACTACTTTCAACATTGTTTTCTCTTAAACTTATTCTCTTTCAAATCATAAGTTTGTAAAAAGTGATTTGAAATCATTAGCTCGTTTAAAAGTGATTTTACATTTAACAGAACCTTCTTCAGCCCCAAGTTTTCACAATAACTCGTGGAACATCAAACTCTGGCATTTGTGAACTCCATATGCTATACGAATTCTATATGCTGGAAATACCATGGCCGTAACTTGAAAGCAAAAAACGACAGCCCCAATTAAATATTTTCAAGACCAGATATGTAGCAAATTACAGCTATAAGAAGGAACAATAAACATCAAAGTTAAAAGTCAGATGCACAAAAACAAGAAGATTAATTTCTGGTCCAATCTATTTTGAGAGGTTTTCTGGTCCAACACGAAAAAGATTCAAAGTTTGAATTGAAGTCCAGAACTCAAAAAATCAATAAGTTCTTCTTTGGTTGTCCTAGCAAATATTATGACAAACATAGAACACCATAAAAGATAGGGGGTGTATAGTGGACAATGAATGACTCTTAACAAAAGAAACAGGAAGAGAGGACGAATTAGAAATAGCCAAAAAAAAAAAAAAAAAAAATCGATGCGGTTCAATACATTAGGATCAAATTAAGTTTCATTTTGCAGGAATCAGTAGCTCTTTGAACGAAAAGGAGAGCTGTAGAAGGCAAAACGAAGCACGAAATCAATTACTTCAAAAAACTGAGATAAAATATAAAAAGCTTTTGTAAACCTAAAACCGGCTAACATTCCACCTACCATCACAAAATTCAACAAAGACGTTGACACAAGAAATAATTGAAACTGAACCAAAACACATCACGATCATCCAATCACTAAATAGCTAAAACAGAGGGGAAATTTTTCAATAAAAGAAAATTCTCAACCGACCTGCTCTGAGAAACATCGTAGATCTGACCCTTGATAGCCATGAGCAGAGGCTTCTCAGGATCGGAGCCATCGTATTGCTTCAACTCATCCTCAGAAACCTCACCGACTTGGACAGGCGGAGGGAGAGGCTGGAGCTGCTCCCCTAAGTCCCTAGTATGTGTTCCGTAGTCGGAAGGACCAAAGAAACTGGAAATGAGATAGTAAAAGGCCAATCCAAGAGCCAAGACTGTGAAGAAGGTCGACGGAGAGAGGCCTGTGTAGGCCACGATCGCCTCCTTCAACGTCTCCCAGACTTGCAGAGCCATGGCAGAGGGGGAGAGAGAGAGAGAGAGAGAGAGAGAGAGAGAGAGAGAGAGAGAGAGAGAGAGAGAGAGAGAGAGAGAGAGAGAGAGAGAGAGAGAGAGAGAGAGAGAGAGAGAGAGAGAGAGAGAGAGAGAGAGAGAGAGAGAGAGAGAGAGAGAGAGAGAGAGAGAGAGAGAGAGAGAGAGAGAGAGAGAGAGAGAGAGAGAGAGAGAGAGAGAGAGAGAGAGAGAGAGAGAGAGAGAGAGAGAGAGAGAGAGAGAGAGAGAGAGAGAGAGAGAGAGAGAGAGAGAGAGAGAGAGAGAGAGAGAGAGAGAGAGAGAGAGAGAGAGAGAGAGAGAGAGAGAGAGAGAGAGAGAGAGAGAGAGAGAGAGAGAGAGAGAGAGAGAGAGAGAGAGAGAGAGAGAGAGAGAGAGAGAGAGAGAGAGAGAGAGAGAGAGAGAGAGAGAGAGAGAGAGAGAGAGAGAGAGAGAGAGAGAGAGAGAGAGAGAGAGAGAGAGAGAGAGAGAGAGAGAGAGAGAGAGAGAGAGAGAGAGAGAGAGAGAGAGAGAGAGAGAGAGAGAGAGAGAGAGAGAGAGAGAGAGAGAGAGAGAGAGAGAGAGAGAGAGAGAGAGAGAGAGAGAGAGAGAGAGAGAGAGAGAGAGAGAGAGAGAGAGAGAGAGAGAGAGAGAGAGAGAGAGAGAGAGAGAGAGAGAGAGAGAGAGAGAGAGAGAGAGAGAGAGAGCAGAGCCATGGCAGAGGGGGAGAGAGAGAGAGAGAGAGAGAGAGAGAGAGAGAGAGAGAGAGAGAGAGAGAAACTGAGGAGAATGAGAGAGGAAAAGGGCAGCAGCTTTTTGTTACCAACCTAAAGGTTTTTAATCAAGGGTCACCGTTGTTCGTGGACAACATTTAACATCTGCGCCGCACAAAAAAACATTTTTAGAAATTATGTTCATGCCCCGGAACTTTGGATAATTTGTTCATATAGTCCCTAGATTTAAAAGTTTTACCCTTTCATCCTTAAAGTCTATAATAATTTCTTTCCACCCCTCGATCAACTTAATTATAAACTAATTCACATTTACTATTCGTAGCATAAAAAAAAATATTGATTTTTCCTAAAATTTTGTTAAGTTAGCTAGACGATGACTTAGGGTAGGACAATTTCAGTAGACTGAGTTCTATAGGCCTGTGAGCTACCGTCAGTAGGTCTAGACCCTATTACTCCTAGACTAGGAAAGACTCGAGGAGTCAAAACAAAGTCCCCTGGAGTCGAGCAACCACGTTAAACCACCCTAGGAACCCAATAGACCTCCTCAATGCCTAGAGATGACTAAGGTGATGATTAGAATGTGTTCTATGCTTTAGGGGATTGATAGGAATATCTCCCTAATAAGCATGCATGAGTGAACCAATTAGGATGCTATAGCTAGGACGGTTTACACATTGACCTAGATCAATATATTTCCAATAAACCGTGCATCCAAGTATCGTGAGCGGCGATCAAAGGTCTAGATCTAAGTCTACCTAAAGATTGGATTAGCCTCGAGGAACTAAATCCGAGTGTCCTAAAAAATGCGATGTGAGATTTAAACCGCCTAGATACCCCTAATAACCTAGTAGAACTCCACGACATCCTAGGATGACTAAGGTAGCTCATCAGACAGCCAGTAATATCTTGGTGTCACTAGAGTCTCCACCTCCCATCTCCTCTCTAGTACATTCTTAGGGCTAGCCATGCCCTATCAAATGGTAATAATATAGGTACTATCGAGTCAATCCTAGGCCATATAGTGTAGCACGTTCAAGGTGACCAAATACTTTGTCCTATGCAGTAGAACTTGTCTTAAAAGAGGGCGTAGAACTCCGTATAATAGCTAGCAAGTACATCGAGGTTATTATATGTGAAGTATTTGTATAAAGTTAATGCATAAAACATAAGAAAATTCATTTTCTATTTATATGGAGCAGTTTGCATGGAACCACATTTTCTATTTACAGTTTTACCTCTTGCAAGAATAGGGGAAACACGTGACCCACGTGTAACATGCCAACAATAATCCTTTTTTTATTCAATCCTTTATATCGACCGCTCAGTACGTATATACATATATGTATTATTATATATATATCCACAAATTTTATTTAAAAATAATAATAATAATTTAAGACTTTTCGTGCTAATCCTCCGTTGAATAATGATTTTGTTATTATTATTTTTTTAAAAAAAACTGTCTTCTAGTTTTTTAAGTATGATTTTGAATTTTTACCTTTATTAAAAAAAATAAAAAAAACTTCAACCAAAAAAATATATACAAGAAATATTTTGGGGGTGATCTGATCCATTTGAATAGAGTTCACAATTTAATCCATCCAAACTCTCCATTTTCAAATTAAGTTGAGTTAGGTGGTCGGGTTGTTTTTTTTAATTATTTAAAAAAATCTTACATACATGTTACATTAATAATTAAAATTTCATGAACTTTAAATACGAAACATTATTAATTTTTATAAGAATCTTAAAAGTATGATATAGGTTAAATGGAGTTGTAGTTCTATTTTTGGTTCGTCACATTGACTCAACCAAAACAAATGTCAGCCTGCAATTTGATTTAAAATTCTTCCCTCAAAAAAAAAACTATTATCATAAATTATTATATTAATGAACAATATTATAATTTATGGAGAAATACTTCATTCAAAACTTTATCATAAAAACATAACATTGATCTTATATGTTTTCTAAAACGCCTTTAAATAATATAATAAAAATGGAAAATGACAAAGTAAAAATGTCTTATATACTAACCTACATGCTACTAAATGGAAATGCAAACTAGCCTATACAAACCTATAGTCTACTAAATTCAAATTGCAAACTATCTTATGCATGTGTTATGGTCTCTTGGGTTGCGACGCCGTCAACCGTATAAGGCCTGAGGTTTTTTGAGAAATAATCAGCAAGTGACCCGGCTATTGAGGTTAGATGCAAGCACATACAATCATGAGTGGGACTCTATTAGGGTTAGATTGAAGCACATACAATTGTGAGTGAAACCTATCATATTAGTCTATTTTCCTACGATAGATATCCTAAATGGGTAATTGGATGTGTATTTACTATTCTACACACGTGCGAGTACGGACCCACCAGTTGATTTGTACACCTCCTAAGCCCCTTTCTTGTTTGGTAAGCATTCTCTGTTAGCTGTTGATGCTGGACACCCGTTAGAAATAACGACCATCGTAGTAGCATTATGGTAAACATAATGATCGTTTCCCTGCTTCGTAATATACGTGTTCGTACCATCGTAAAAGGAATAGGGGTATCCCCCGATGCATGAACACACAATGATGCCTGAGGTCCCAACATTTTTCTATTCATTATCATGTATATCTAGCGTTTTCCTTTATATCATATCTTCCATGCATATACTGGAGTTGTATCTCATGTCAATTCGTCATTTGCATGTCAATCGTATTATATATCATTTATGTCAAACATAAATCATCTCATAACTCATTATATCTTCTAACTTATCATATCATGTTATGCACATATCATACTATATCATATATCATAGTCAATTCGTCATTTGCATGTCAATCGTATTATATATCATTTATGTCAAACATAAATCATCTCATAACTCATTATATCTTCTAACTTATCATATCATGTTATGCACATATCATACTATATCATATATCATAGTCAATTCGTCATTTGCATGTCAATCGTATTATATATCATTTATGTCAAACATAAATCATCTCATAACTCATTATATCTTCTAACTTATCATATCATGTTATGCACATATCATACTATATCATATATCATAGTCAATTCGTCATTTGCATGTCAATCGTATTATATATCATTTATGTCAAACATAAATCATCTCATAACTCATTATATCTTCTAACTTATCATATCATGTTATGCACATATCATACTATATCATATATCATAGCATTCACATATCATGTCTCGAGTATATCATCAAGCACGTCATATCTTAACATATCATAAGATAAACATATCAATTGTCACATATAGCATAACCGTTCACATATCATATCGTACACACATCATTACATAATTGTTCAAACATACGAGCATATGACACGTGCGAGGCCACGGGCACATGTCATCATACAACGTACAGTTATAACCAAACTGATAGTAAGACCACTTACTTGGTTGTTCTTAGTCGGCGTTTCCATAAAATCGAGTACGTTCGCTTTCCCTTCCTTGAACATGCTCAAAGTATCGCCGGTTGTCATTTCCTATTAGAGTGTCTATCCCGTTTCGTTAGTAACTCAAATTCGTTAACTCAATTTAACTTAAATCGAGAAATTAAATGTTATACAAGTCTTAATTGCCTTAATCAAAGTCAATTTTAGCTTCGGGATGGTCGAATCGGTAGAAAATAGGCAATTCCTCCTTTACCGAGCTGAGTGATGCCTGAGATAGGATACATGAGACGGAAAAGGGGTGCGCTTCTACTTGCCGATGAGACACTTGTCGCACAACCTGTTCACGTCTATGATTGCCGGCAAACCGTACACCGTCTCCTCCTTGTGTAGTTTCTGTAAAGCAGGAAAGCTCCAAGCTGCTTTTTCGGTCCTGGCCGAGAGGCTGACCGGCTGTTTTATCTTCAATTTTAGGATGTAGAGGCAGTTAGTCGTGCGCCGAACTTGCATGAGGAGTCGTCGTCGATCGTTGCAGATCTTGAGCAGCCCGTGCTTGATGTAGATGTAGCAGCCGGCCTCATTGAGTTGACCCAGGCTCACAAGGTTAGCCTTGAACCTCGGGATAAAGTAGACGTCATTCAGCTTGCGGTGCTCGCCACCCTTACCGATGAACAGAATGGTGTCTCGCCCTTCGATCTTGACGATGGAGCCGTCGCCAAACTTCACCGTCCCGTGAATCTCTGAGTCGAGCTCGGAGAACGCAGACCTTGCCCCGATCATATGATTTGTTGTCCCCGTGTCGCGGACCCATCACCGGTTGATAAGATAAGGAATCAACTACAAGGGGAGTAAGATTCGGATTACCTTGTTGATCGAATATCTCAAGCAACGAACACTTTGTTTGAGATTCGAATCACTCCAGAAGCAAGATTGATCATGTCAAGCTTGAATGATTCTACATGCAATCTAAACTCCATAGAATTGCAAAGAAACTTAGCCATTGGCTAAAGAAAGCACACATGCTTCTTTTACTATATTTTTCAAGTCTGCCTTACAAATACAACATAGATGGCTTTATATAGCCTCAAAATGAAACTACTAAAGGCATTCCAAAAGCTGTAACATTCACACTTTATAGCCATAATTAGCCATTATGTAAATGTAACCGAAATTAAATAAAAAGTCTTAAAATACAATAACTCTAAATTATAACCCACCCAAAATTTACAACAATCAAACTTTATTCTTCTTCAATGTAGCATGAATTGAAACATCTTTTGATAATTTTGACAACCTTTTCTTCACATCTTCATTGAAGCATATTGTATGATTGATGTCTCTTGGTTCATATCATTCTCCACTTCTTCAAGAGGATTCGTCCTCGAATCTATTTGTGAAACTTTGCTGCAAAAAATAAGTTATGGAAATACAAAGGACCTCACAACACTCTCTCACGTGTATACACTAAAGGAATTTTAGGCCACTCTGTTTGCACTCATTTACACAAATGAAGCTTTCATTCTCACCTCTCAAAATTTTAAATAGAGCAAAGATTGAATTTTGAACTTTGAGTCGATTAAAAACTAAAAAGATGAAAATAAATAAAAATTAAATTGAGAAGAAAGCAAAGGAAACATATATC